GGTTTAGGGTTGAGGGTTTAGGGTTTAGGGTACATAAGCCACGGCTCAGGGAAGTCATGTGCCCGCCTGGCTATTTCGTCGTGGGAGCAGCTGAAGGCCCCTGCGATCGCCCTAAACCCTAAACCCTAAACCCTAAACCCTAAACCCTAAACCCTAAACCCTAAACCCTAAAACCTAAACCCTAAACCCTAAACCCTAAACCCTAAACCCTAAACCCTAAACCCTGAACCGTAAACCCTAAACTCTAAACCCTAAACCCTAAACCCTAAACCCTGAACCCTAAATCCTAAACCCTAAACACTAAACCCTAAACCCTAAACCCTAAACCTTAAACCCTAAACCCTAAAAGCCCTAAATCGTGCTTCAGGCTTGGGGGCTTCAGCCCGTGGGTGGTTGTCCCAATTATGGTCCCTTTTGGGGTACCCTAAATATTCGGTGCCGCAGTATCATAGGGATCCAAGAAAGGGACCTTAATTTTGACAACCACATAGAAGAACCCGGGGGGCCCCAACTTTGCTCTGCTTGGCTTTGAGTTCGACTGCCTTGCTTGGACTTTGTGGCTCTTTTGCCTTGGGCCTCAAGCTGGCAGCTCTGCTGCCCGAGGTGTTTTCTCCGGCCTCGAGCCTTTTTGTTTTTCGGTTTAGGGTTTAGGGTTTAGGGTTTAGGGTTTAGGGTTTAGGGTTTAGGGTTTAGGGTGTGTGTGTGGGGGTTTGATCCCTGAACTCTCGGCCATGCCCACCGAACCCCCATACAACGAACACCCAAACCCTAAACTTAAACCCGTCTCGCTATCTCGATGTTCCCCACAGCTACAACCAGGAGGCATGTGTTGGGGGTTCAGGTTTGGGTTTGATGCTGTGGGCCAGAGGGTTTAAGGCAAATCCTGTACTTCCTGCGCCACCAGCCCAAACCAAGGCCCAACAAGCCCTTGAATCAAAACTCTAAACCCCTAGATCCTAGACACCTAACCCCTAGTAAACCCTGAAACCCTAAAACCCTAAAACCCTAAAACCCTAAACCCTAAACCCTAAACCCGAAACCCTAAACCCTAAACCCTAAAACCCTAAAACCCTAAACCCTAAACCCTAAACCCTAAACCCTAAACCCTAAAACCCTAAAACCTTAAAACCCTAAACCCAAAGCCCGCTGCAGAAGAGCATCCGGCTCAGAGGTCGCCGCTGTGTGCAGTGTCCAGCTGGCTTCTTTTGCCCAGGCTAGGGTTTAGGGTTTAGGGTTTAGGGTTTAGGGTTTAGGGTTTAGGGTTTAGGGTTTAGGGTTTAGGGTTTAGGGTTTAGGGTTGAGGGCTGAGGGTTTAGGGTTTAGGGTTTAGGGTTTAGGGGTTGAGGGTTTAGGGTTTAGGGTTTAGGGTTTAGGGCGGTGGCGTCAGGGCATCTTGCGCTTCAGGGTTGGGGGTTTTTGGTTTCGGGTTTAGGGTTTAGGGTTTAGGGTTTGGGGTTTCGGGTTTAGGGCTTAGGGTTTGGGATTTAGGGTTTCGGGTTTAGGGTTTAAGTGGTTCTCCAGAGTGTTTTAGGTGGTGCCCTCGTTCCCTTATTCTGTGGGGGGGGGGGGGTTCGTTTCCGATGTAACCCCCAGAGAACAGAAGAGGGTGCCCTTGAGATGAGTGTGCTCCCTAAACCCTGAACCCTAAGCCCTAAGCCCTAAGCCCTAAGCCCTAAGCCCTAAGCCCTAAGCCCTAAGCCCTAAGCCCTAAGCCCTAAGCCCTAAGCCCTAAGCCCTAAACCTTACACCCGTAAACCCTCAAGCCCCCTGTAACTTGAAATTATTAAGAACATTTAAAAACGAAACTTTCCTCGAAACTTTCCCCGGACCTGAACCCTGAATAACTTCAATAAACCCTAAACCCTAAACCCTAAACCCTAAACCCTAAACCCTAAACCCTAAACCCTAAACCCTAAACCCTAAACCCTAAACCCTAAACCCTAAACCCAAAACCCAAAACCCAAAACCCAAAACCCTAAACCCTAAACCCTAACCCTAAACCCTAAACCCTAAACCCTAAACCCTAAACCCTAAGCTCTAAGCCCTAATCCCTAAACCCTAAACCCTAAACCCTAAACCCTAAACCCTGAACCCTAAACCCTGAACCGGGTTGTAGGGGTTTGGGCCCCCTGACTGTACCTCCTCTAAACCCGAAAATGGGGTTAGGGTTTAGGGTTTAGGGTGTAGGGTTTTAGGGTTTAGGGTTTAGGGTTTAGGGTTTTGGGGGTCATTATAGTATAACTATAAATATAGGGGCCTTAATAGTTGGAATAGGGTTTGGGGGGTTATCATCGACAACAAATATAGGGGCCTTAATAGATAGAATAGGGTTTGGGGGGTTATAATAGTACAATGATAAAGGGACCCTGAGGGAATAACATTCGCAATTATTCCGACCCCTATATTAAACCCTGAACCCTAAACCCTAAACCCCAAACCCCAAACCCCAAACCCTAAATCCTAAACCTTAAGCCCTAAAACTCTAAACCCTAAACCCCAAGCCCTAAGCCGTAAACCCTAAGCCCTAAACCCTAAACCCTAAACCCTAAACCCTAAACCCTAAACCCTAAACCCTAAACCCTAAACCTATACTACACCCGTCGCCAAGCGCCTAGGGCCCGGACTCCCATCAATGTGCCATGCTCCAGCGGCCCCCAGCCCCAGACCCCCTAAAACACCCGAGAAGACCACAAAACACGCCCTAAAACACCTAAAGTACGCCCCTGAAGCCCCCTTCACACAGCCCTAACATACCCGAAAAAAAGGGGCCCTAGAACCCCTTCAACAACTCTAACATGCCCTAAAAAGCCCCCTAAAACACCTTGAGTAGACCCTCCCCGGCATCGCCGCAGGCGGTGTTGCGGAGGAGGCGCGGCGGCTGGCGTGCCCGCCACTCCCCTTCTCATGGCGGAAGGAAAGTTTAGGGTTTAGGGTTTCGGGTTTAGGGTTTAGGGTTTATGTAGCATGAAAGGGAGAAGTGGGGCCTAAAGGGGAAGGTCAGGGTACTCTGTCTGTAGCTTTAAAGAGTTTAGTGGGGCCTACCGGGGAAGGTTAGGGTACTATGTAGCTGTAAAGGGTTTCGTGGGGTCGGGGCACTGTGCAGCTTTAAAGAGTTTAGTTTAGTGGGGGAAGGTTAGGGTTAGGGCGGTTAGGGTACCATGTAGCTTTAAAGGGCTTCTATTTTTGGGTTTAGGGGGCTTAAGGGGGGGATTTAGGGGGCTTAAGGGAAGGCGAAAGAGTTCCGAGCTGGGGGTTTAAGGGTTTAGGGTCTTAAGGGTGGCGGGCTCGGGGTTCATGCGTTCAGGGATAAGAGTTGAGAGGAGTTTCGGGTTTAGGGTTCAGGGTGGCTTGAGGTATTTGGCCTAGAGAGTTGAGAGGAGTTTCGGGTTTAGGGTTTAGGGTTTAGGGTTTAGGGTTTAGGGTTCAGGGTTACGAGGATCATGTTACTATTCGAGGCAATTAGAGGTCTTACAGTACAATCATGCTTACAAGGTTCCTTTGGGAGAGGGGGAGGGGAACTGAATACCCTAAACCCGGAATCTTCAACACTAAGCCCTGAAGCCTAAAACCCTACGAAAGCCTCAACCCTAAACCCAAAACCCCACTGTAAACCCCAAACCCTAAACCCTAAACCCTAAACCCTAAACCCTAAACCCTAACCCCAAACCACGATCAAACCCGGCGCCCGCTGCAAAGGTCAAGGACGTCCACAAAAGGAGCAGGGAGTGCAAGGGGGCCCAGCCGGGTT